GAGAAACATCCAATTGGCTGCCTCTCATATGCTCCCTGACCAGCAAACCAGGAATGAGCCCTGACCGGGAATTGAACCAGTGACCTTTCGGTTTGCAGCATGACACTCAACTCACTGAGCCACACTGGTCAGGGCTAAACTCTGGTTTTGGGGTACACCTGGAGAACCAATGTTTGATATACTGGCCCTGAGATCACACTGAAAAGGAGGGAAAGGGGTCCAAACAGAAGGTAGGTATCTAAAACCAAAATCCCCCCCTCCAAAAAATATATATAAATAAAAGCAAAACCAAAAGCCAGGAGCATGCAAAACACAGCGGAGATTTCAGAATGAGGAGCAGAACTGAGTACTGCTGGTCACCAGAGGTAGTAAGTCAGGAGGAGGCTGCAAGCAGTAACATGTACCTTTAGTGCCGATCCATAGTTGGTCTTGTTCTAGCTTAAAGGTGAGTCTCACTTTTCCTCCAGACTTATTGTACATGCCGGACAAAGGGACCGTAGGGAGGCGCTCCTGGAGGTACAAGAGTGTGGTAAGAGAGGGAGGGACCAGAAACAAAGTAGGACAAAACAGGAGAAGGGACAGGATGCCAGGACAAGAGCACAGGAAACTCAAGAAGTCAGGTGGACCTCATTTTCAGAATGTTCAACGAAGGAGTATGGCTTACCTGGGCCCCCTTAACAGATGGCATCACATCTTCGGGTTTTCCTTTATCCAACACTTTCCTGTGTTGCTATAACATAAGTCAGAAGAGATCATTAAATGAAAGTTGATTGCATTTTTGTCATTTTACTACCTCTGAAAAACAGGATGAAGTAAGCAAGCCTTAATGTTCTAGTTCAAAAGCTTGTACTATCTATAGCAGATACTACTAAACAGCACTGTCCAGCAGAACTTTGTGTTGATAGAAACATGTGGCTATTAAGCACTTGAAATAAGGCCAGTAGGACAGAGAAAATGAATCCTCAGTTTCACTGAATTTTAATCAGCCACATATGTCAATCATACCAGACCTCAAAGTTCTAGAGAAAGCAGGATTTCCAGACTGCTAATTTGAAGAAAATCTTCTTCTTCCCCTCCCCAACTCACCACTAAAAGGATTCAACATTAACCTAAGAGAGCCACAAAGGGTGTTACTCTCAAGACAGGTACAAAATGATAGCACTTTTGTCAACTTTAAACTCCCAAAGACACTCTACCATTACTAACAATCAGCCTGACTGCCTAACAGGACATTTCCTCCACAAATGGAGACTGCAGAAGTTTTCCCTGCTGCCTCACCCTCAACCCCAACTAGACTGAAAGTCTGAAGAACTACATTTCCAAAGATAAATGTTGATACTCTATACTCTGACATTAAGAAGACTCTAACCCAGCCCACCCCAAGAGTTTGAGGCAGCTCCTTACGGGTTCCTAGTAAGGCTCAAGGCCCCTTAGACAGCTCCTGACCAGCCCACACACTGGAATCTTACTTCTGCCCCATCTATGGCTATATAGGTAAAGATACTTTAGTAAAGCTAGAACTACAGGGCAATGAGTAGGCAGAGTGTAAAAAATTAACCAACTTTTAGCAGCAGGTGATCATTAGCCAGCTCAAACCATTACTGGCATGGCAGAAACCCCCAGTAGTAATAAACTCAACACTGCCAGATTGCTAGCAAAGGGTCCCCTATATATTATCCCTAGATTCCTGAAGAGCTAATAAAAAGTCACAAGGATGGGTCATTCTCATGAGGCCATGTTATGCCTCATAACTGGCATTAATGAAGCACAGCAGCATGGATTACAAGCTGAATTTAACTCATACCTCACATGTATCCATTGAAGAATTTCCCCTGCACTGTGGAAAACAGTTCAAAACCTGTTAAGCTAGGATTAGTAACTCAAAACCTGTATTTAAGAGGCATGTGTGCTCCCAGGGTGTGGCCAGTGGGAATGCTCACTCACGTCTGCATTCTCATACTTGACATTTCACACACATGGTGGAAGAAAACAGGAAAATGGAAATGAACTCAATTGGTTACAAGACATCATAACCCCATATTTGTGTCCAAATAAACACCTTTTAGATGTTAATGTAAGTTTATAACCCTTTATCTGAAATGCTGCAGGCAAACTGCTTTGAATGTTTGAATGTAAAACCCAAAAGTTTTAGGGGTTTTATAAATGTAATATAGTTTTAAAATACGTTATGTAATGTCCTCCACGTATTCTGGCGCCGCATTTTGTCACCAAACACATTAACATTTCTATGGCAAAACATGAATGTTCACACTAATGCTGGTCAGGTTCTGCTGCCATATTTAGAAAAACATATTTGAAGGCTTGGAAGCACACATAAGGGAATATGAGCCTGTAACAGAAAATTGTGTCCTTCTCGCACTCTTGGTCATATGCCTGGCTGCCTATGATCACTAAACCTTGGTTCCAGCTGGTCCACTCTACTCAGGGTACAGGTTAGGATGAGAATACCTATTTTCCTAGAACCCTATTAACAGTGTCCAGGAGGCTGCCTAACAATAGCTGGTATTTACTGGATAATAAGATGACAAGTGATGGCTCTTCCAACCAGCTCCAAACTGAGCCACAAAGAATATGAAAAATCAGGCCCCCATTTCACAGACCAGGAGAGGGGGGGAAAATCAGCACAGTTATCTTTCTAGTGAGGTTAATTTGGCTTCCTGAAATGCTCAGTTTTAGAGGAACCTTTGTAAGCTACTGATTTTCATGCCTTTCCAGAAAAGGACTTGTTGACTTGGGGGAAACACCACCAAAAACCAAATGTAAGCACCTGCACAAAATGGGGAGTTAGTTCTAGCAATGGCATTTTTCTCTGGCTGGCAATGAACAGAAGAGAAACCTGTATCTGATTCTGAAGCCTGCCTTTGCAAAGGCCTTATCCTAAAGTAGATAGACTTGAGACACACTGACCCGCCAGATGAGACAAAGTTGCAAATCTCAGGTAGTTGTCACCTCCACTCAACAGCCAGCCGCACCCAACTGCTGCCATAAATTTCCATCATGGGCCCTGTCCAAAAAGGAGCTTATTCTAGGGAGAATATCACCAACCACGGCTTCAGAGGACAAAGCCTCAAACTTCCCAGGATTAGCAATCATGACAAACTCACTTTCTGCCTGCACAGTGGCTCCTTCTTGTTCTCTTCAGCCTTGGCATCCTGTTGCGCAGAGTCTTTGGGTGTGTTTACTGCTAAAACATCATTTATTGTGGAGCCAACCACCATGATCTTGGCTCCGCTGGCCACCTTTATTTCCCTCAACGTCTTATCTTCAGGGACGAGTCCCTTATACATGACTTTCTGCATGGCTGGTGGGAGACCTTGGGAAAAGGTAGCAGACAGTGAAAGAAAGAATCGAAAAACATACTTGGACCAGGGCTCTTTGGCAACAGACCCCAAAGTGAATACTGCTCTACCACTCTTAGTTTTGCACACTTGGGCAATTCACAACCTGTCTCAGCCTCAGTTTCCAGAACTTTATACTACTGATGACAGGAGCTCCCTCTGTATGTACTTGTTTTAAGGATTACGAGATAGGGCAAACAGTACTTAGTGTAGCCCCTGGTATTCAGTAATTGTACAGTAAATATTAGCTGTCATTCATTCCAAATTATTCCTCAATCTTCTATTCACTCAAATATTAAGTGAGAGTCCACAAGCCTCAGGGATACAAAAGCCAGTAAGGATCAAGATTTTTTTTCTTTAATGGAGCTTACAGGCTACGTGGAAAAAGCTTAAAAAAGAAATCATTTCAGATGGCAAAGTGCTGTAAACAAGAAAAAAACTAAGTAATAGGAACACCTGTGAAGGGGCCAGCATGATGGTCACCAGCACTGTTTCCTAAACTTCCCTCATAAAAATTACCTCGTATTCGCAAAAAATAAACTCCTGGCCACATTCCAGGCCTACTGAATCAAAATCTCCATGGAAAGGGGCTTAAGTTTAATAAGAACATTAAGTGGTTTTTATTAGAAATGTTTGTGCAACACAAGTTAGAAGCTTTGGGCCTGGGCCTCAATCCCAGCTCAGCCACTTAGTAGCTTTACAATACCAGGACTCATTTTGCCTATCTAAGTAATGGGCATCCTAGTACCCACTTCAGAGAACTGCTGTCAGCACGGACACAGCTGATACTGGAACAGTGGCCAGCAGGGTACTAGCAGAGTGTAAGCACCACGAATTGCAGGAGAGGTGGGGAAGGCGGCAGTGGCTGTCGTGCCATGGGAATTACCTGTAATCGAGTGAATCTTCTGTTTCAGCTCGGAACCTGTGCTGTCCAGAGGAAATTTCACGTCGTGCTTAGTCTTGTTCCAGATGATCTTCAGGTCCACCAACTCCCTTCCCGTGCCGCCGCCGCCCGCATCCTCGCCATTGCTGACCGAAGCCTGAGCCACGGGGTCCCCAGGGGGCTGGGCCGGGGCCGGCTGCAGGCTGCTTAGCGCAACACAGGCGTCCTCGGTCGCCACCCCCACGCCCGCTGCGGCTTCAACCTCCACGCAGTTGAGGGGCCGCGCGGGCGCCTCGGCCGCCACCGTCTCAGCCTCAGTGTCCATGCCAGCCTCCTCCATGCCTGCAAGGGGGTCAGGGGTGGGCGCTCGCCTCGGGCTGGGCCTGGGACTGGACTCCGCCCGGGCGCCGCCGCACCCCAGCTCCCGAACGAGGAATTTCCTCCCCAGAATCCCCACCTTGGGCCAGGCCGTGTCCCCAAAAAGAAACCGCTCCACTCCGGCCCAACCCGGGCGCCCGCCATCCCGCCACACTCACCATCCGGGGACCCGGCCGCCGCCATGATGATTGTGTACAACACCCACCGCGCACGCAGGGAGCGCTGGGAAAAGGAGACCTGGCGGAGATTGGCCCCCGAAGCAGCCCCTAATCTCGCTCGGACTGGCCGGAAACAGGTGGAGGTTTCTATGGAGACCCGCCTCCTCCGCTTCCTGGGCCCAGCCCATGCCACGCTTCACCTTTCTGCAGCGGAGAGGGGAGGACCCGGAAAATTGCCCACTCGGTTGGCTCCGCCCCCTAGAGGCCGAGCTGGGCCTCGGCTGTACTAGGGTTGTGAGTTTGCAGGCTTAGTGGTCCGCGCCTTTCAGGGGTGAAGTTCGGGGGGGGGCCCCCTGTGGAGGAAGCGCGTTGGCTAGGAGGAGTTCCCGGAAGTGACTCACGGAGGCCACGTGGGCGAGAGCACAGCAGATGGAGGTGCTCCTGAGGAGGCTTTTGCAGCTGGGAAGGACCCCAGGAGTCTTGGGGCACTCCTCGGGACCCTGCGAGGCTAGCTTAGGCACTGATCCTGGGGCTGCAGTGCGGGTGCGGTTCGCCCCCAGCCCCACAGGTAACTTGGCGGACGTGAAGCTGCTGGCTGAGGCCCACCGATGATGCTCCGGTGAAGTCAGACTGGGAGAGGGCAGCATGACCTCATTTTACAGAGGCAGTAACGGGTCCACGAATGGACCTTTTTTTAAAAAATATTTTATTGATTTATCTTTCGAGGGGAAGGGAAGGAGAGGGGGAGAGAAACATCAATGTATGGTTGCCTTTCCTGCGTCCCCTGCTGGGAACTGGCCTGCAGGGAACTGGTCTGCAACCCCAGGCATGTGCCCTAACTGGGAATTGAACCGTGATTGTCTGGTTCACAGGCCCACGCTCAACCCACTGAGCTACACCAGCCAGGGCACGGACCTTTTAAGATTTTATTTATTCATTTTTAGACAGGGGAAGAGAGGGAGAAATGGAGAGAAACATCAGTGTGTGGTTGCCTCTTGTGCACCCTCTACTAGAAACGTGGCCCTTAACTCAGGGATATGCTATGAGAATCAAACCAGTGACCTTTTGGTCTACACTCTGGTGCTCAGTCCACTGAACCACAGTAGCCAGGCCTTTATTTTTTTGTGTTTAATCCTTCTAGTAGATGAGGGCGTTGGAGCTCATACAAGTTAAAGCACCCAAAGGATAGCAATTAATAAATGGTGGGTGCAGAATTTAAATCTAGGTTTATTTCACATAAGAGGTCTGGCTTTCAACTCCTGGACCCCTGTCTTCTACCTTGGGACCACTGGTTTGTGGCGGACTTGCAATAACTGCAAGTCACACATAATCAGTGTTAAAATGAGACTGCATGACACCAGGGAGCTTTACCAGCCCTGTGCCACCACCTGTACTTGAAGGTGCAAATGAGCTCCTTGTGCAGACAATGCTGTGGGCTAAGCCAAAGAAGGTAGGAAATAACGGCCCCGAGAAAATTGTTAATTTTAAGTTTTCAGTCAGGAATGATGGGAAAGTAAAATCTTAGAATTTTAAATTCAGGTGACGAGAAATAATCACAGAATCAAGTTACTTTTGGTTAGCATTTAAAGCCAACATTTGAGGTGAAAATCTCAAATAGACAAAATTCAAAGTGTATGATATGCAGTGCATAGAGAATGTATGGAAAATATCATTTTACAGTATCTTTAATTTGTCATTTTTCTCCCTGCCTGGTGTAGCTCAGTGGATTGAGCTTGGGCCTGCGAACCACAGGATCGCAGTTCGATTCCCAGTCAGGGCACATGCTTGGGTTGCAGGCCAGTTCCCAGCAGGGGACACACAAAAGGCAACCATACATTGATGTTCCTCTCCCTCTCCCCTTCCCCCCTTCCCCTCTAAAGATAAATAAATAAAATCTTTTAAATAAATAAATAAAATTTGTCATTTTTCCTCAAGTACATCGTTGAATTTGCATAAGTTAAATACGCATGTAATGATGGTTTCAGTGACTAAGCCTCTGCTGCTTCTCATTTGGGTGAAACTTGACCTTGAGGCAAATCTTAAAGTAGAATGATGGATGCATTTTTGAGGAGTTGGAGCCTTTTACAAGATGACATGCTCCAAAACTTGGGTGGTCTTCTTCCAGAAAGAGGCTAAAGAAGTCACCACCCTGTGCTCTTCTATGGCAGTCTAACTGTCTAGGTGCAAGCTGGAGAGATGGGGCAGAGCTGGTGGTTTCTTGGGCTTTGGTATTCATGGACATACTCTATCACACCCAAAGCTCATTTGACCCTGGGCTGAGGCTTGTCAAGGTCATGTTACCATCTCGTTGGAACTGTTCTCTTTTTCTACCAGGCTTTTTGCATCTGGGTGGCCTCCGCACTGCCTTGTACAACTACATCTTTGCCAAGAAATTTGGAGGGAGCTTTATCCTGCGGATGGAGGACACGGACCAATCCCGCCTTGTGCTCGGGGCAGCAGACAATATTGAGGACATGCTGGAGTGGGCAGGTGACATCTCTCAATACCAGAGATTTGTGAAAAGGAAATGTTTATTTAATGCTGTACAGACTTAAAGTAATGACCTACGGTCCCCATTAAAAAATATCAAAGTCCTTTTGGATACTGGCAAACACCCACAGTGTTTCCTTCTCCCTCTGCCCCAATTTGGGTTACCATATCTCAGGAAAAGAAGCAAATGTCCATGTTTCAGGCCGTTGGCACTGTCACCTGTGTCATCGTCCAGGCAGGATCTCTAATTAATCCAAAGCCACGTGGCACCTTCTTATAGCCTACTGGAAAGAGTTCTTCGTACCCATTTTCTAGGCAAAGTCTCTTCTGCTTTCCAGGCCATGTGGCCCTCTCCTACCAAAGCTGTAGAGGTCCCCACTCTGGCCAAAACTGCATGGTTCCTCTCTCTACCAAAGCTACGGGGGGGGGGGGGGGGTTGCATTCTGGCCAAACTGCGTGGTTCCCTCTTAACCAAGCTGCAGGGAAGGGGTCCCCACTCTGCCAAAGCCGCATAGTACTCTCCTCCAAAGCTGGGGCTTGGCGGGCGGGGGGGGGGGGGTGCATGGCCACTCTGCCAAAGCTTAGTGGCAGTTCTCTGCTAAAGCGGCATGGTGATTCTCTCTACCCCAATTGCAGGGATCCCCACTTGGGCAAAGCCTCGTGGCTGTCTCCCTTATGTGGCTGCATGTGGCCCTCTTTCTGCACGGCCACAGCTGCATGTGGCTTTCTCTCCTCAATGGCTGTTGAGTCTGAGTTTTAAATCCCCGTGCCAGTCCTCCTCTGCAGCCCCATTTCCGGCTCCTCCTATAAGTTATACCTGCCAGCATTCCTGTATTATTCCAAGTGTACTGGGCTGCCATTATGAGTCTGGGCAGCGGTGGCCCCATATCATGGAGCCAATCTTCTCCAAGCTCCCAAACAGGCACTGTAAGGGGTGGGGGGGCAGGGACCTGCCCCCCAGTTACATCTTGTGGGGAGAGTCCCTTTCCATCCCCCTGGCTCAGAGCATGGCCACAGCTATTTAACATATCTATGCAGCCAGTTAAAGGTTATAGGTAGGTTAAATGACCATGCCAGAGATTAGCTGCAAAGCAGTTGCTGTACAGAACACCTCTCGATGGCCCTACTCCATTTGTCCGTTCCCCCAACTCACAACCTGCAGGGGGGGAAGGGGTGAGGATATCTTATATATCTTTCTAATATTTCCTGGACACCTTGAGTTCTGGACCCCATTCCAAATCCCTTTTTGGGGCCCCCCTCTTGGCTGCACCCTGTTACACTCCCACAAACACCAGGATGGAGAATAAGGAGTTCTTAGAGAGATGGGACATTTGTGCTTCCTGGGTGGCAGCTAAGGTGCCACCTTCCTTAGGTGCCACCTAAGAAGATGCCAAAGCTGCCTGAAGAAAAGGTCCAAGGCTGTTTTTAGATTCCTGTTCTTATCCCAGAATCTCAAGTCCCCTTGGGAGCAGGCAGAAAATAGACCGAGTATAAGATGGACCTGGAGGATGCTAGACCTGCGGTAAGCTGGAAGAAATTCCAGTCCCTTATTTCTAAGTGGGAATGCTGGCTCAGCTTGTCGAATCTGACTTCCAAGAGGAACCGAAATTCCAGAGTTTTTGTTGTTTCTTAACGAATGCCTTTCATTGTTAAATCTGAGCTCGGGTTTTTGGGATTTTTTTTCAGTACCACATTATATGAGCCAAACAAAATGTGTGTGTCCTCACATTTGTTCTTTTACAAATGAGGAACTGAAGTCGATCGTCTCGTGGGAAGTTTAATCCCGAACACAGCTAAGCTCAGGGAGGACAAGGAAAAGTATATTTGTGTTCCTTGGGTGAGCAGTTGCCTGTCTGCTGGAACAGGTATGACTAGTTAAGTTTTCTAAGAAAAAAATACAGAAAATACTAAGACCGTTTTGAGATGTATATTTTAATCTCAGGTAAATTATTAACTGGACTTTGGGTTCCTAAAGGGCAGAAACTGATTTCATTTCTGTCTCCTATCATAAAGAATTATATCAGCTACTCAGTCAAGAGTAGCTGAATAAAAGGCATTCTTTACCCAAAACCATTTACTATGACCCAGGTAGTGTTCCAGCACCAACAGAGACCCTGTGCTCAGTAAATAGGGGAAGATGGGTAAACAAATCATTCTTGTCAGTAAGAAAAGGGTAGCAGGTTTGGGAGCCCATAGGGAGGGATGCTTATTTAGACAGGGTGGTCTTCACTATGGAGGTAATGCTAGAGCAGAGACTGACACAAAGCGAGGGGCCAGCCCTGTGGTTACCTAGGGGAAGAGTGCTCAAAGCAAGGCAACAACATGGAAGCTAAGTGCTGGGCGTGTTAGGGGAGCAGCCAGGAGGCCAGTATGACCCAAGCACAGTGAGTAGAGCAGAGTAATGAGAGGTATGGGCAGAGCTGTTATGCCATGTAAGCCAGGTGAGAACTCTGATTATATGCAGGCATTCTGCTGGGCACAAAGGGTGGCAATGAACAGGTGCCAGCTGTTTGGAGCACAGCTGGTCCAGCACAACTGTGTAAATGAAGCCTGCAATCCCTACCCCAGCATTGTGGTGACGCAGAGGCCAGGTTCCTAGGCACCCAGAGTGCTGATTGCTGGAGCTTCTTGCTTCAGGGGTCATTCTTTTTTTTTTTTTTAACATGCAATTAACATAATATGAAATTTACCACTTCAAATTGTACAATTCAGTGAATTTTAGTATACTCACCATGTTGTGCAATCATCGCCACTCTCTAATTCCAAAACATTTCTATCGCTCCAAAACGAAACCCAGTATCTATCTAATAGTAGTGATTACCTATTCCTCCCTCTTCAGCCCCTGGCAACCAGTCCCTGTGGTTTGCCTATTCTGGACATTTCATACATTGTAAATGGAATTCTACAATCCATGGTCTTTTATGACTGTCTTTGACTTAGTGTAAAGTTCATCTGTGTTGTAGTATATGTCAGTACTTCATTGTCTTTATGATCAAGTAGCAGTCATTGTGTAGAAATACCACCTTTTGCTTATTTATCCATTTATCCAAGAATGGGCATTCAGCTTTTTTCTACTTTTTGGCTCTTATGATTCACTGCTGTGAACATTTATATACTAGTTTTTATGTGAACATGTTTTCTTTTTTTTTTTTTTTTTTTTAAGATTTTATTTATTTATCTTTAGAGGAGAAGGGAAGGAGAGAGGGAGAGAAACATCAATGTATGGTTGCCTTTTGTGTGTCCCCTGCTGGGAACTGGCCTGCAGGGAACCTGCCTGCAACCTGGGCATGTGCCCTGACTGGGAATCGAACCGTGATTTGTCTGGTTCGCAGGCCCGCGCTCAATCCACTGAGCTACACCAGCCAGGGCAACATGTTTTCTTTTTTTTTTTCCCACTGTGTGTGGGGGAGGGGTCTGAGAAAGAACAGTGCCACTTGCTCAGGTCTCAGTCAGCTTTCAGTTACTTCCCCCACTACCCACAAGGAAATTGGGCCCTTCTGATGCTGATTCCTGGGTGGGTGGGTTTGTGTACATTCTAGGATCCTGTGGGTCTATCCAACAAACTCTCTTGTGAGGTTGGGAGTTTCTCTGCCACTGCAACCCCACAGTGTTTTTCAGTCAGAGGTTTTGAGGATTTATTTCCTCATACTGGAACCCCGGGTTTCCAGGTCTGTCTTGCTCCTCAGTTTTTCCTCCCAGTTTATCTGCATGCAGTGTGGGACTGCCCACTCTGCAGCCACTGCCTTGCCTACCTGTCCTCCAGTCACTACCTTGCTGGGAGTCCTCTACACCCCAGCTGCCTATCTCCACACCTCCTACCAGTCTGGGTAACTGTTTCTTTTTTTTTTTAATTTTTTTATTGATTATGCTGTTACAGTTGTTCTATTCCCCCCTTCATTCCCCTCCACCCTACCCCCCATCCCCACCATTACCCCCCTTTAGTTTATGACCATGTGTCTCAAGTCCTTTAGATTCTATATTTCCCATACTATTCTTGCCCCCCCATCTATTTTCTATCTACTGTCTATGCTACTTATTTTCTGTACCTTCTCCCTCCTTCTCCTCCTCCCACTCCCCTGTTGCTAACCCTCCTTGAGATCTTCATTTCTATGTTTCCACTCCTGCTCTAGCTGTCCTTTTAGTTTGCTTTCGTTTTAGGGGTGGTAATTAATAACTGTGAGTTTGTTGTCCTTTCACTAGTTTCTTTAACTTCTTTTTCTTAGATAAGTCCCTTTAACATTTCATATAATAAGGGCTTGGTGATGATGAACTCCTTGAATTTGATCTTATCTGAGAAGCACTTTATCTGCCCTTCCATTCTAAATGAAAGCTTTGCTGGGTAGAGCAATCTTGGATGTAGGTCTTTGGATTTCATGACTTGGAATACCTCTTTCCAGCCCCTTCTTGCCTGTAAGGTCTCTTTTGAGAAATCAGCTGACAGTCTGATGGGGACTCCTTTGTAGGTGACTGTCCCCTTAGCTCTTGCTGCTTCTAGGATTCTCTCCTTCATTTTAATCTTCAGTAATATAATTATGATGTGCCTTGGTGTGTTCCTTCTTGGGTCCAACTTCTTTGGGACTCTCTGAGCTTCCTGGATTTCCTGGAAGTCTATTTCCTTTTGCCAGATTGGGGGAAATTCTCCTTTATTATTTGTTCAAATAAGTTTTCCACTGGTGGCTGTGTCTTTCCCCCCTTCTGGTACCCCTATAATTCGGATGTTGGAGCGTTTAAAGATGTCCTGGAGGTTCCTAAGACTCTCCTCATTTCTTTGAATTCTTGCTTCTTGACTCTTTTCTGTTTGGCCATTATTTGCTTTCTTCTGGTCCACTCCATTGATTTGAGTCCCAGTTTCCTTTTCCTTGCTATTGGTGTCCTGTGCAATTCCATTCATTTCAATTAGTTTTGCCTTCATATATTTGTCTAATTTGTGGCTATAATCAACCAGTTCTGTGAGGATCCTGATGACCAGTGTTTTAAACTGTGCATCTGAGAGTTTTGCTATTTCTTCATCGCTTAGATCTATGGGCTCTGGGGCTTTGAGATCTTCTTGCAACATTTTTGGTCTGTTCTCACGCTTTAAGTGTGAGAAGCGGCACCTTGGACTCCCAGGTGGCTGGGTTGTGACGCTGTATGTGGGGGCGTGGTCAGAGCGGGGAAATGGCGACCCCCTCTGCTGTTTCTCGCAGCTGGGTGAGGATCAGCGCCTTAGGTGGTTCACCTGGGCCGGGCCACTCAGAGTTGCTGGGTTATGACACTGTATGTGGAGGTGGGGTCAGAGCAGGGAAATGGCGGCGCCCGCCACTGCCGCTTGCCGAAGGGACCCGCTAGGCCCCGGTCCAACCGCCCACTCCCTCGCCTGTCCACCCACGCACAAATGCGCGACCTCAGTCAACACGCAGCCCCGGGCCCGGCTGTCTCCCCCGGGGTTGCTCGCCTGGTCGCTCGCTGGGTCGCTCACTAGGTCTGACCCTGCGCCTGGATTCCGCGCCCGAGTCCATCTGACCGAGACCTCCTGTACAACCCCGCTTCACCAGCCGCTGGTTTCGCCCCTTACCAGTCAGGCTGAAGAATTTGTTGTTATCGGACTTCTGAAAAGTTCAATTTTCCGTGTTCTGGCTGTGTTTTCTGTTGCTAATATTTAGTTGTCTGTAAACTTGGTTGTGTGAGAAGGCACGGCACATCCACCTATGCCTCCATCTTGGCGGAAGTCTGTTTTCTTTTTTTAAAAAGTTTTTTAATTGATTTTAAAGAGAGGAAAAAAATTGTTGATTTTTTTCACCCACTTAGTTCTGCATTCACTGGTTTCCTCTCATATGTGCCCTGACTGGGGATTGAACCCTCAGCCTTGGTGTATCAAGACAGCACTCTAAGCAACTGAGCTATTGGCCAGAGCTGTGAACATGTTTTCAGTTCCCCTAGTGGAGTTACTCTTAAACCCTAGGATATCCACGTGCTGAACCCATTCAGTTAGGTCAGGAAAGGAGCCCCAAATATACCTAATCCAACCCTCTTTTCTAACAAATGAAGAAGTGGAGGCCCAGTGGGAGAGGGAGCCTAATAATACTGAAAACAATTATGGCCAAAGCTGACCGAGTGCCTTGCACATATCAGGCAGTGCACTAAGCACTTTACTGTGACCACACTCACAGTAAGTTTGTGTTCTTTTACGAATGAGGAAATGTAGTCTCTGAAAGGCAACTCACTCAAGGTTTGCATACTGGCCAGTGAGTTCAAACCTGGACAGTCTCCTCCAGAGTTTGTGTTAATGTTGAATGTGCAGGGTTATCCGTGTTCTTATCTTCCTAATTCATTTGAAAGCTATTTAAAGCGCAAAAACACCATCATTCAACTCTTCTGTGTCCCCTCTGCTCCGTCCTGAAAACGTTCATAGTTTAATGCGCCCTTTGTGACCTGAGGAACCTAGGCCTTGGGTTGGAGATTTTAGATTTGGCCATCATGTTTCCTTGGGCTTATGTTGCATTTGTTAGAAGGATGCCATAGGGCTGAGTCCTCTGTGAGCACCGATGGCTTTTAGTTCTCAGTCACTCTGCATAGCAGGCCATCAGCTCTACTTTTCAGAGAAAGGAGCGGAGGCTTACCAAGGCTAAGGAATGCAAAGAGGAAGTACAGTGAGTCATTAAGAGCATGGACTCTGGGGCCAGCTCACCCGGATTTGAATCTAGTTGTGCCTCTTATCCTTGGCCAAGTGATGTAACCAAGTCCCTCTTTGCCTCAGTGTCCATGTTAATGAATGGGAATAATAATGGCATCTACTTGGTGTTGTTCTGAGGCTTGTGGAGACCACAAAATATAAAAACAGCTTGGCACTTTGGTACTTCCACATCTGGACCCCTTGTCATAGCCAGTCAGGGGTAGAGCCAGCAGACCAACCAGGCCTTCTGGGCTATTCCCTGAACCACATCTTTCTCCTGAGTTGGCTGTGCTGGGCCTGGGTGGGTTTCCCCACCCTAGGAAAAGGGTGGGCAGAGGGGACATGTAGTTGGCAGTGAGGACATGGAGCCAGCACACCTCTGCTGGACTTCTCCTCCTCCTCCCATTTGTGTGACCTTAAGCATTAAACCACTCTGTGTTTTAACCTTTCATCTGTAGATGGGAAATCATGGTAGTACTGAGCTCACACATTGCTGGGAGGATTAGAAGCTTTCTTCCATTTGCCAAGCCCTTAGAGCAGTGCCTGAGAACCAATGTCATGTATAGCTCATGGTTACTATTTTATGATTAGTCTCTTTCCATGCTTCAGGCATTCCCCCTGATGAGAGCCCACGCCGGGGAGGCCCCACTGGGCCCTACCTGCAGTCCCAGAGGCTTAAGCTATATGCCCAGGCCACAGAAGCTCTGCTGAAGACTGGCGCTGCTTACCCCTGCTTTTGCTCACCACAGCGGCTGCAGCTGCTGAAGAAGGAGGCCCTGAGGAGCCGCCAGATGCCCCGGTGAGAGCCCCAGCCTGTTATGCTACCTTTCCAAAGTCGAGTCTGTTTGTTAGCTGTTGGCTACATAACAAGTTACCCCCAGACTTTTACTGTCTTACGGTTTCTGTGGGTCAGGACTCAGGGTTTCTCTCAGTGCTGCAGCCAAGGTCCTGGCCAGCTCACAGTCATCTTAAGGCTCAGCTCACAGAGAATCTGCTTCCATTTGCCATGGGGCTGTTGGCAGACCTCAGAGCCTCACTGGCTGTTGCTTGGACACATCTCCATGCCACTCGGGCCTCTCTGTAGGGCAGCTCACAGCATGGCGGCTGGCTTTCCTTAGAGTGAGCCAGGGAGAAAGTGAGAGAATAAGACAGAAACCAGAGTATTTCTGTAACCTAATCAAGGAAGTGACAGTCACCAGTTTGGTTTTGCTCTGTTCATTAGGAGGAAGTCACCAGGTCCAGCCAACACTCAGAGGAAGGGGAGGACACAAGAGCAGAAATACCAGGAGGGTGGGAGGGATCACTGAGATCATGTCAGAGCTGCCAACTGGGTCCCAGGCAGAAACACTTAATTTTAATTACTCGTTATTTTGCATAAGTAAAATTTTCTCATGTTCAGAAAAATACATACACAAAGCTCTCTCCCAACCCTGACTCTAGCTACTTAATTAATTTTTTTCTCCAGAGACAACTGGTGTTAGAATTTGCTTATGTTTTCTGCAGAGACATTCAGTACGTACACTGATAAATGCATATCATTTCTCTTCCTCTTTCTTCAAATGGTAGCACAAAATATGTGTATTGCACAACTTCTTCTCTCATGGATTAGTCTGTATCAGTGCACAGGTTTCCTGATGTTTGCATAGTATTCTATTGTATGGACATATCATTATTTACTTAATAAGTTCCTTACTAAGGTATACATTATTTCTAATCTTTTATTATAAAAAAGAGAGAGTGTGGCAAATGATGTTGACAGGCATCATTTTGTTTCGTTGGAATCTTTGAGACATGGTGCTAACTGGTGGCCCTGCACTAGCTGCACTCCTGGCAGGAGTGGCATCATAACTCAGTTCCAGTTTCAGTGAACTGTCTGTACAAGGACCCAGATGTTTGGACAAGGTCACGACATTCACTACAGCACTGATTTCCTTTTTTTTTTTTTAAGATTTTTATCTTATCTATTTTTAGAGAGTGGGGAGGGGTGGGAGAGAAACATCAATTGGTTGCCTTTCATGTAGGCCCTACTGAGGGCCCGGCTCACAACCCAGATATGTTCCCTGACTGGGAATCGAACTGGTAACCCTTTGGTTCGCAGGCCAGCACTCAATCCACTGAGCCACACCAGCTAGGGCTGATTTTTTGTTGTAAACAATGTACTTATCTACTGACAGATTACTTTTGGGGGACATTTTTTAAAGATTTTATTTATTTATCTTCAGAGGGCAAGGGAATGAGAGAGGGAGAGAAATATCAATGTATGGTTGCCTTTCACATGTCCCCTGCTGGGAACTGGCCTGCAACGCAGGCATGTGCCCTGACTGGGAATCGAACCATGATACTCTGGTTCACAGGCCCAAGCTCAATCCACTGAGCTACACCAGCCAGGGCAGACAGATTACATTTTTGGCCTAAGGTCATACAGTTATCAGAGATAGAGATAGGGCTCATGCCTGTCATCAGTACTCTTAGCAGCTATGCTGCTCTACTTCCCAACAGGTATGACAATCGGTGCCGGCACCTGAGCCAGGGGCAGGTAGCCCAGAAGTTGGCCGAGGACGCTAAGCCTGCTATCCGCTTTCGCCTAGAGGAGGAGGCACCGGCCTTCCAGGACTTGATATTTGGCTGGAATCGGCATGAAGTAGCCAGTGTGGAGGGGGATCCGGTCATCCTGAAGAGCGATGGCTTCCCCACATACCACCTCGCCTGCGTGGTGGACGACCACCACATGGGCATTAGCCATGTGCTGCGTGGCTCAGAGTGGCTTGTCTCAACCTCCAAGCACCTGCTTCTCTACCAGGCCCTGGGCTGGACACCGCCTCGCTTTGCCCACCTGCCTCTGCTCCTCAATAAGGATGGCAGTAAGCTGTCCAAGAGGCAAGGGGACATTTTCCTGGAGAGTTTTGCTGCTGCTGGGTTCCTCCCAGATGCCTTACTTGACATCATCACTAACTGTGGCTCAGGGTTTGCAGGTACCTGCTCACCTGAGAGGTCACCATGGGACCATTGCAGTGAGGAACCAGGGCTTGGGTCCAGGCCTACCTGATCCTCAGTCCGGCTGTGCCACTTATCACCTATGTGAACTTGCACAAGTTCATTCTTTCATTCCACAAATATTTATTGAGCCAGATACTGTGTTAGTACTGGGGCTACAACAGTGAACAAGACAGGCATAATCCCTGCCCTCAAGGAGCTTATGGTCTCTGAATCTTGGTTGCTTCATCTGTAAAATGGGGCTAAGTGGTTGTCTCTTAGGTGTAAGTTAGCATTCACTGAGCACATGAGGGTAAGGCTCCAGCATAGTATCTGCTACACGATTGCAGATACTATGTTTATTACAATTATGTTACTACTATAACAGTATTACTGGTATTACTGTGACCCCAGTTTATTCCAAACTAAGCTCTATCCTTGGCCCAAAACTTAGAGCCAAATCCTAGAGAAGCACCAAATATGATGACGTCTTTGTGGGGAAGATTTCTGAAAATGAGACAGTAATAGTCTGCTTAGTATTGACTCTGCTCTTACTTAATCCTTAAAATCCTTGTTAGATGTTTATTATGTCCACTGTTTGCAAGAGGACTGGGAGGCTCTAAGAGGATAGGTAACTTGCCAGTGTCACACAACTAGTAAGTGACATGGCAGAGGCTCACTGTAGGCTGATGTCTAACCACGATACCCACTAGCTGTATGGGACAGAGCTGCTGCTTTTGAGAAGCAGCTCCCAGCGCAGCATTCTTAACTCTGGCTGCAGGAAGCTTAGAAAGCATTCTGGTTCTCAGAACCCCCCAGGCCAATGGAATCAGACACTGCAGTACAGCTAGGCAGTGGGCATGCTGTTCCTGCAGCTCACATCTATGAGGGCAGTGAAGGTAGATTAAGCCTGATTGTTACCAAACTGTTTCTTTCCTTAGTGATAGAATCCTTTCTGCAAATGAAAGTTCATTTGGGCCCTTGGTATAAAAATAGCTAGAGGTTGAATCTCTTTGATGAAAATGGGATGGGGAGCCCAGAGCATGCTCACTCAAGCTCCCTTAGAGTTGAAACTGCAGGGAGAGAGGCAGTTGAGCAGCTGGACTTCCCTCGCTTGCAGAAAACCGAATGGGCAGGACCTTGCCAGAGCTGATAGCACAGTTTGACTTGACCCGGATCACTTGCCACTCGGCCCTGCTAGACCTGGAGAAGCTCCCAGAATTCAACAGGTAAGTGGGGGGCTATAGAACCCCTGGCAGAAAAGGGCTTTCTTACTGATGATGGATCCCCACAGCAAAGGGTCCTGTGGGCTCTGGAGTTGCATACACCTGATTTTGACTGTGGGCTCAGGTGTCTAGTGTTGTGTGACCTCTTCAGGCCTCTGTTTCCTCTTTTCTAAAATGGGCCTAATAACAGTACCCACTTTGTGCATTGTAAGAGTTCAGTTAAATGTTGCATTAAAGTATTTGCACAGTCCCTGGCACACAGAAAGTACCCTGTCGATGGTAGGTATTGTTTTATCATTACCAATATTGGATACCCTTGTATGGATTTTGTTGACCACCAAAGCCTGGTGGAGAGCATCTTCACTTTAGAACCACTCCCACCTGCCAACAATAAACAGGCACTTTCTGCCAACAATAAACATGCCACCTATTTCATGTTCAAGTGGTCCTTCACTCAGAAACCTCCAAACACAATTACAGTTCCCTTCATTGTTGACATGTCCCAGTCTAAGGGCTTGGGTGGTAAAGCAGCAGACAGGTTTATATTCATGGTTGTAAGGACCCCTGTTGCCTTCTCTTGAGCACTGGTTTGGGGACAGGCTCTCCTTGGTGCTTCCTTCACATGAGCCCAGGGAACTCATGAATGGCAAGTGTTTCAGGGCTATTACTTCATTTACTTATGCACTCAACCTGTGAGGTCAGTTTTATTATTTTTCCCTTTTTTACATATGAGGAAATGAAGACAGAGGAGTTACCTAACTGGCCCAAGTTCACTTAGTAAATGGTGGGTATCTCTTGAATGAGGTATTTAAGAACAAATGCAACACATACACTGACTGCTACTTGTACTCTGCCTTTCTTATGGAGAATGCAGTATTCTCCATAAGAGAAGATGGGGTGAGACCTGGAAGATTTTTTGTAGCCTGCTCTAGTACCCCTAAAGCATATCGGTAGCCAGAGGAGGACAGAGGTGGGCTTTGCTTAGTGTGATTTGGGGAGGAGATGTGGCTTTGGGATACCCACAGGTTTAACGCAGCCGAAGCTTTTATGTTAGATGTTCCAGTAACAAAGGCACTGCTGTGATTAGTTCGTAACAGTAAAGAGAGCAGTAGTGGTTGTCATGGCAGCAGCAGTACTAGTGCTGTGGTGGAAGTAGTAATAGTGATTAAGTCATCCAGCACTTATTGTGTCCCAGGCCCTGGACCCTACTTGTGTTGTCTCAAGCAGGGCCATCAGGTCTTTGATTCCTTTTCTTCTACTGTCCCCTCTAGCTACTAGGGACATCCTGGAAATAGTGTCAGTACCAACTTCATGTGATTTTTTTTAATTGCTCTAAAAAAAATTATGTGTTTGGTCACTCTGTACTCCACATAGCCTCCCAGGGGCTCTCATCCTCCCTGACGTGCCGGGGCCTCTGTTCCGATCCCTGCCTGTCTCCAGTGCCAGTTGTGGTAGCGAGGCAGGCCTTGTGCTCAATGCTTTACTGGTAGTCCCTCATTTAATCTACACAGTGATCTCTGAAAGAGGCCCGCTGTTGTTCCTGCATTAGAGGTGACCATCCTGAGGCTCCGTATGGTCACGTGAACACCTGGCGGGGCTGGCCTCACTCGCAGGCCTGTCCAGTTACAGATCCCATGAGATGTTCACCAACCCCTGGCTGCCTGTTGGGCTGGGGCAGCCTAGAGAACCAAGGACTGACAGGGCCTGGCTGGAGGGTTGGAGTCTCAGAGTCTTCGCTATTTTCAAAAGAAGAAACAAGACAAGTCTAGAAGAGAGAAAAAATTTTTGATTTTTAAAATTGATTGATTGATTTTTTTAGAGAAAGGGGAAACATCAATTTCTTGTTCCACTTATTGATGAATTCATTGGTGGATTCCTGTATGTTCCCTGAGTAGAGATTGAACACACAATCTTGGTGTATCGGGAGGACACTCTAACCAACGGATCTACCCAGTAAGAGTGGGGGTGATGGAATTTCAACTAAAAAAAAAATCTGAACTTTTAAACTGGGAGCTCTGAATCGTTCCCATTGCTCATAATCCGAGAAATTCATATTTTTATCTTTTGCCCTTTTGTGCCCTTTGCCCTTGAAGCCTACACTTCAAGCTGTAAGAGAAAGGAGACACTGCTGATTCTGCTTTGTAAATGGATGCCTGGAGAGCTCAGGCAGGTGGCCCGGGGGGTGGCAGTGGGCCAGGAGAAAGACAGGAGGGTGGGGTAGGGACAGAGGGGCTACAAACCAGAAAGCTCTGGTGGTGTAAACTAGGCAGCCTCTATTCCGCTCAAGCCACCTGGAGCATGGAGAATGAGGACCCTTTGTGGCCAGATCTGATAACCCAACAAGAGAAGTCAGAGCCCTGGATGGTGTAGCTCAGTGGATTGAGCATTACCCTATGAACTGAAAGGTCATTGGTTTGATTCTTGGTCAGGGTACATGCCTGGGCTTCAGGTCAGGTCGCCAGGTCGGGGCATAACAGAGGTAACTGATCAGTGATTCTCTCCTTTCTCTCTCTAAAAATAAATAAATGAAATCTTTCCTTAAAAAGTCAGAAATCTCTTATTTTTGTGTGATATCTTCCTAGTTAAAGTGTTAGCTACCATTTTAAAAACACTAAAGCAGCATATTTCTAGGTTGCTGGCTTGCTTATTTATTTATTTATTTATTTATTTATTTATTTATTTATTTATTTATTAGAACTTGGAGAAGGAAGAAGGGAGAAAGAGAGGGAAAGAAACATCAATGTGTGCACTTGCTTCTTGCACACCCTCAACTGGGTGGGTACCTGGCCCACAACCCAGGCCCGTGCCTTTACCTGAAATCAAACCTACAACCTTTTGATTCACAAACCAGTACTTAATCCACTGAGCCACATCAGCCAGAGCTCTAGGTTGCTTTTTAAAGATTTTATTTACCTACTATGAGAGAGAGGTTGAAGGGACGGAGAAAGAGATGGAGAGAAATATCCTTAAGTTGCTATTCACTCATCCCCAGCTGGATACCTGGCCCACAACTCAGGGATGTGCCCTGACTAGAAATCCAACTGGTGACGCCCCAGTTCGCAGGCTTGTGCTCAATCCACTGAGCCACACCAGCCTGGGCTCTAGGTTGCTTTTTAAAGCTACCTCTTTAAAACCTTAACCAGATCCCTTTAAGTGTAAAGGGAATTCTTTTGGCTTCTCCCACAGGCTGCACCTTTGTCGGCTGGTGAGCAATGAGACCCAGAGGCGCCAGCTGGTTGGAAAGCTGCAGGTGCTTGTGGAAGAGACATTTGGGAGCCAGCTGCCAGACAGGACTGTCCTGGACACAGCCTATGTAGAGAGGATCATCCTCCTGAGACAGGTGTGGGATTGGGAGCTCTGGGAGACTGAGGGAGTGGCAGCACCCCCATTATTACCCTTCCAGCATGTCAGCCCTGTCCACAGTGCACTGAAGGTCTGCCTCTTCCTCCAGGGTCATATCTGCCGCTTGCAGGACCTGGTCTCCCCAGCACACTCCTACTTGTGGACGCGCCCTGCTGTAAGACGAGCACAGCTACATGCCATCTCAGAGAAGGTGGATATGATTGCCAAGTGTGTACTAGGGTGAGTCCCCACAAGCCAAGCTCAAGGTTCTACACCCTCTTACCCTCTCTTCTCTCAGGGTCTCCTTTACCCCAGGGCTTGCAGTTGGGCCTGCTGCACAACTCATGGCTAGTGAGAGGTTCTTGGTGAGCTAATCGCTCACTGACTCTTTTGGTAGGAGGGGAGCCCAGAGGAACCCAGACTCTCCCTGAAAGAGGTGATGCATTCAGACTCTGGTGTTATACTCACCTGGGTTCCATCCTGGCTTCACCTCTTACTCATCCAGTTAGTTCACCTGCCTAGATGACTTCACTTTGGGCAAGTTACTGCACCTCTTTGAGCTTGTTTTCTCATCTGAAAGGTGGAGATGATACAAGTTCTTACTGTAACAGTATCAGAACACTCTCAATAACAAGGGTGGAAAACAACCATGGAGAGGAATGACTGGTCTGTGTAATCACAGTCGTCAGAACAAGGGTGACTTGAGGCTTAGCACAGGGTCCAAAAATATGTCCCCAAGTCCCAGTTTCTCCTTTTATCCCTTTCACTGCCTGCCCATCCTCCTCCACATTGGCTACTACTTCTGCAGAGGCTCTGGACGAGGTACATGGAGAATGCAATTCTCTTCCAACTAATGAGTGTATTTCCTTTTACCTAACAGTACTGGGGTGAATGGCTTTCCTTCATGCCTCCAGGGTAATGCCATCCCTAGATTTCACTCTTGTGTAAGTGATCCATGGTGACTCACAGACCATCCAATATTTAGCCAGAAGAGGAATGAGGAGAAGAGGAGACAGATGGGACACCTCCCCCTTGTGAACTGGCTTAAAAGCTACACATTCATTTCCATCTGTATCTCACTAGCTATCTTATGGCCATACCAGGCCACAAGGGAGTCTGGGAAATGTGCTTTCTTTAAAAGTATACTGTCTTGATTATGCTATTACAGTTGTCCCATTTTTTCCTTCTTTTTATTCCCCTCTGCCTTGCACCTCCCCCCCGCCCCAGCATTCCCTACCCTTAATTCATGTCCATGGGTCATACATGTAAGTTCTCTGTCTTTTCCATTTCCTCCATACTATTCTTATCCTCCCCCTATTTTCTACCTACCATTGAAGTTTCTTTTCCCTGTACCTTTTCCCCCATTCTCCCCTTCCGCCTCCCCTCTGATAACTCTCCATGTGATCTCCATTTCTGTGTTTCTGTTCCTGTTCTAGTTGTTTGTTTAGTTAGTTTGTTTGTTTGTTTTTAGGTTCCATTGTTGATAATTGTGAGTTTGATGTCATTTTACTGTTCATATTTTTTCTCTTTTTTTCTTAGATAAATCCCTTTAACATTTCATATAATAAGGGCTTGGTGGCGATGGATTCCTGTAACTTGACCTTATCTGAGAAACACTTTATCTGTCCCTCCATTCTAATTGAAAGCTTTGCTGGATGGAGTAATTTTGGATGTAGGTCCTTGCCTTTCATGACTTGGAATACTTCTTTCCAGCCCCTTCTTGCCTGTAAGGTCTCTTTTGAGAAATCAGCTGACAGTCTTATGGGAACTTCTTTGTAAGTAACTGCCTCCTTTTCTCTTGCTGTTTCTCGAATTCTCTCCTTCCTTTTAATCTTGGGTAATGTAATGATGATGTGCCTTGGTATGTTCCCCCTTGGGTCCACCTTCTTTGGGACTCTGAGCTTCTTGGACTTCCTGGAAGTCTATTTCCTTTGCCAGATTGGGGAGGTTCTCCCTTATTATTTGTTCAAGTAAGTTTTCCATTTGTTGCTCTTCCTCTTCTCCTTCTGTTACCCCTAAAATTTGGATGTTGGAAAAATTAAATTTGTCCCAGAGTTTCCTAAGCCTCTCCTCATTTGTTTGAATTCTTGTTTCTTCATTCTGTTCTGGTTGGATGTTTCTTTCTTCCTTCTGGTCCACACCATTGATTTCAGTCCTGATTTCCTTCCTTTCACTGTTGGTTCCCTGTGTGTTTTTCTTTATTTCACTTTGCATAGCCTTCACTTTTTCCTCTATTTTATGACCATCCTCAACCTGTAAGCATCCTGGTTACCAGTGTTTGGAACTTTGCATTTAATAGATTGGCTATCTCTTAATCACTTTGTTCTATTTGGGGAGTTTTTGTCTCTTCTTTCATTTGGGCCATATTTCTTTGTCTTGGTGCACTTGTTATGTTGTAAGGGGCGGAGCCTTAAGTATTCACGAGGGTAGGACAACCCTGGTTGCTTAGTTGTGGTGCTATATGTGGGGGAGGGGTCAAGAGGGAATAATACCACGTGCCCCACACTCTTAGGCTTTCAGTTACTTCCCCTGGTACCATAGTCAAATTGGGCCCTTCTCAGGTGGATGGGATTTTATAGGTTCTAGGACCCTGTGGGTCTCTCCAATGAAACTCTCCTATGAGGCTGGGAGTTTCTTCTGCTGCTCCAGTCCCAAAAGATTTTACAGCCAGAGGTTTTTAGGCTTTCTTTTCTTGTGCTGCAACCCTGGGTTTCAGGGTCGTGTGGTCTGTCTTGCTCCTCAGTTGTTCCTCCTGGTTTATCCAAACACAAATGTAGGACCACCCAGTCCGCCAGCCACCTCACCTGCCCTATTCTCCATCCGCCATCTTGCCACTCATCCTGTCTGCCCCGACTGCCCATCTCCGCTCCTCCTACTGGTTTGAATGAGTGTTTCTTCTTTAACTCCTTGGTTGTTGGACTTCCATACAGTTCAATCTTCTGGCAGTTCTGATTATTTTTTGTTTTTAAATTTGTTGTCCTTTTTTTGCTTGTATGAAGAGGCAAAGTGTATCTACTTATGCCTCCATCTTGGCTGGAAGTACGAAAAATGTACTTTTTTTAACTTGGGACCCATGTAACCAACTAAAAATTTTGTTACTACATACAAAAGTGAGACCTGGATAGTGTGTTCAGTTGATTGAGCAACACCCTGCAAACCAAAGTGTCACCAGTTTGATTCCCAGTTGGGGCACATGCGTGGGTTATGGGCCAGGTTCCCAGTGGGGGAGCATGAGAGGCAACCACACATTGATGTTTCTCTCCCTCTTTCTTTCTTCCTGATCCTCTTTCTAAAAATAAGTAAGTAAAATGTTTTTTAGAAAAGTAACTTATCTAAAATGATACAGCCAAGCCATGGCCAGGTAGCACAGTTGGTTAGAGAGTACACCCAAGGTTGAGGATTCCATATCTGGTCAGGGCACATAGAAGAGTCAACCAATGAATGCATAAATAAACAGAAAAACAAATTGATGTTTCTTTCTCTCTCTCTTTCTCTGTCTCTTTTCCCCTCTCTCTAAAATCAATTTAGAAAGAGAGGGAGGGAGGAAGAATGGGAAGGGAGGCAAATGGTACAGTTAGTAAGTCAGAGGGTGAGGGATTCAAACCCAGTCATTCTGTGTTGAGACCACATGTCTAATGAAACTTGCTCTTGCTTCTCCTTGACGTAAAGTACTTGGACAGTACCTGAATCCTAGGAACCTTCCATGTATTTTTATAATATACAATTTGAAGTGAAAAGAGTATATGTACACCCTGACTGGTACAGCTTAGTGGGTTGGGCATCCTCCTGCAAACCAAAAAGTCACTGGTTCAATTCCTGGTCAGAGCACATACCTGGGTTGCAGGCCAGGTTCCCAATTGAGGGTGTGTAAGAGGCAGCCAATCAATGTTCATCTTGCTCTTTTCTCCCTCCCTTCCCCTTTTTCTAAAAATAAATGAATAGAATATTTTTTAATATTGGAGCAGGGCTTTTTTTTAAAGATTCTATTTATCTTTAGAGGGGAAGGGAAGGAGAGAAGGAGAGAAATATCAATGTATTGTTGCGTCTCATGCATCCCCTGCTGGGAACTGGCCCAGGCATGTGCCCTGACTGGGAATTGAACCGCGATACTCTGGTTCACAGGCCCATGCTCAATCCACTGAGCTATACCAGCCAGGGTGAATAAAATATTAAAAATATATATATAAGTGGCAAGAAATACAAATGGTACAAGAGGGTTTATAGCAAAAAATGTCTTCCCTCCTACTTCAATCCCCCAATAGAAAAGGAGCCATACTCAGCAATTTCATTTGTGAATTGTCTATATTCAAGGATATGTATATATAACTTTATTCTTAAAATTTTTTAAATTTGAAATTTAATATTTTGATCATTAATACATTCAAACCTCTTAAGCCTGGGCTTAAAACCTAGAAATGGTGTGGTGTATATTGGGAGTCCTGTTTGTAATCCTTGTCCCCATTTGCCCAGTTCCAGAACCCTCTGTATGTTACTACCATTCTTTTTTTTTTTAGAGAGAGAAGGGAGAGAAAAAGAGAAACATATTGTATTATTGTTGCACTTATTTATGCATTCATTGGTTGAGTCTTGTATGCGCCCTGACAAGGGATCAAACCCACAGTCTTGGCGTAACAAGATGATGCTCTAAGCAAATGAGCTAGCTGGCCATAGCCTACTCTTCTTAACTATATCTAAATAATACTTTTTATTTTCCCCATTTTTTTTACACAGAAGGCACAATACAACATACAGCTAAAAAAAGACCATTCTGTGTCTTTTTTTATTTCACTTAATATGTATATATATTTTGATCTCTCCAGTGCTTACAGAGTGTTCTCATTCTTTTTTACAGCTACACCTATCCCATTATTATACCACTTTACCACCATTTATTTAACACCCCTCCTACTAATGGACATTTGGATTACTTCCAGATTTTGCTGTTATAAACAATGCTGCAATGAGTAACCTTGAATAGACATTATTAAGCATGTTTGCAAGTATAGCACCAGGATAAATACCCAAGAGCTGTTATCATTAGTAATAATACTCCCTTAATTTTGCACATTCCACTATAGTGGCTGTTAGTAGTAATTCATTGGAATTAGTGTCTTAACTCCCTATCCTGCTATGGGAATTGTATTTAGAGGCACTCTGGTGCTACCACTCAAGGCAAGAAAGCTGATACATAAATGATCAGAAGTTCCCCGATCTCTAAAAATCTCTTCTGTGCCCATGTCAAGCTCCAGGCCAGATCTTAGTTCTGAGCAGCCGTTGTTGGCCATCTGGGGCCTGTCACTTTCACCTGCTCCTTGGCAGGTTGTTTCCCCACAGTGACATTAAGGAGAGTGTCTATTTTTCCCCACATTACCTTTTATATTTTCAGTATTTTATCTCTTTAATTTCATAAATAACAGCAATCATGTCACCCAATTAATGATGCAGTAAGAATGATTACTTTGCTCTCAAATTGGAACTTAGTTCCTCAAGCCCTAGAATTAATAAGGAGATCTGTCTGCGCCGAAAGGCTATTTGCTCAGGTCTCTTATAAACCATTACCCAGAGCCAGCAGCACTATACACTGAACCAGCTTCTGGAGTAGAGCTGTCCAGATGCCGTTGTGAATGAATGGTCATTGTCAGAGTGGGTATCATGGACCATCTGTCTCACATAGACTCCCTCCCACCATGTGTTGGTCTCTTGCTCTAATTCCAAATCAGGGCTGGGGCGAAGTTTTTGCAAGTCCAGCTCTAAATGAATAGGAAATTCCTCTTGAAATCAAACATGATTTTGGGAGATCTCGGCCGGATTGCCAGAAAAGGGCAATTTGCTGGCCCAATGAAGCTGCAATCCTTAAGTTCTTCAATCTGTGGGCAAAGGATGGTTGTAGCAAGTTGGTGGCAGGGCTCTTACTGGGGCTACAGTCTCTTGATTGCTTCCTTTCTGCTCTCCATTTTATATCTCCAAAAGTCTCCCCTTTTCCCCAGTCTTGAAGCTGTGTTTCAGATCATTTCCCAGAGGACTTCATCCTTCCATCCTACATCTAACCCATTCCTGAATCTCTTTTAGATCCTCTTGCAATGTCTGTGAGCTCTTGGGTGTAATAAATATTAGCGAACTTTTTATTGAAGTAAAAGATCTAATACTTTTGAGTACTTACTACCTATTCAGGCAGTGTGCTTAGTTCTTTACATGTTTTAATTTCGCCACACCATAGTCCTGTGAGGTGCAGATGCTGTTGTCATCCCCACGTGACAGTTGAGAAAACTGAAGCATAGAAATTACTTGTACAGAGGTAGCAGTTAGTAAATCCTCTTATTTTGGTATGGTCTTAGTTTCTCTATGTTATGCTCACATATGCCTAGATCCTCTGTAATGTGGTCTTCTAGTTGTTTTTTCTTCCCCCAACCTGAATGGGGATGAGAGTAGTAGATATGCCCTCCCTCCCCTCTTCCTCAGGCAGGCCCGAATATTGACTGTGCTCTTTATATTATAGCTGATTCATTGCCTTCCAAAGTTCTCCCTCCCACCCACTTGCCATTGGCCTCATAGACTGACCCTTTTCTAGGCTTTTAGAAGGACCTGGTATGAGCTTAACTCAGGATATACTGAATGCAGAACTGAAGAAGCTGTCGGAAGGTCTGGTTGGCACCAAACACAGTGATGTGATGAAACTCCTCCGAGTGGCCCTCAGTGGACAGGCGGTAAGGCGGGCAGATGGGTTGGACTGTTTATGGAGCTCTCATTTATCCATTCAGCTATCATTCACCAGTAGTACTGAACTTATCTTTCATACAAAGGTGAATGAAACATGAATACTCCTCTCACTCAGTCATTTCAGGAGACAATACCTATTGAGTGCCTACTGTGTAAAAGCACCATATTAGATACAGAGGATACAGTAGTGAATAAAACACACACCCACCTTTTCTGCATGCATCATGGAGCTGGCAGTTGATGAGAGGTAACGGACATATCAGTACAAAAGAATAGGCTCCTAAGATGCAGCCGCAGCCTGAAAAATAAAAAACAGAAATGCAAATTCTTTCCTTCGGGGTTAGCCTGGGGTATGTCTGGACTGAGGCTGGGCTTTCGTTCCTTAGGCAGCTTAAGATCATACGAAATGTTTTCTGTTTTTTTTTTCTTAGCAAGGACCACCTGTAGCTGAAATGATGGTGTCTTTGGGACCAAAGGAAGTGCGGGAACGAATACAGAAAGTGCTTTCCAACTGATGGGATGTACTGGACACTGGAGGTAGCCCTAGGAACCTGTTGTGTTTGGAAACTGCCTTCAGAGCAGAGGAGCAGGAGGCCTCTGGCCCATCAGAACCAAGAGTAGAAACAGAGTCTCTGGGTGCACACAAGTGCATTCACAGCTCCAGGCAACTCTGTCCTCACCAGTCGGCTAAGGAAGCCCAGATCCTTCTCACCTCCGTGAGTCTGGAGAAGACCTCATGCCTGGTTCTGATACCACGTTATATGGCAGAGGTTATAAGCTAGTTCATAGAACAGTTCAGAGGGTTCATCTTTAGGCCGACCAGGCAGCTGTAACAAAATGCCACAGACTTGGAGGACTTAACAGAAAGTTATTTTCTCACCGTTCTGCAGGCTGCAATTTGAAGATCAAGGTGTTGGCAGGTTTCCTTTCTCCTTGGCTTGCTGCTGACTGCCTTGCTGCCTTACATGGTCATCTCTGTTAAGTGTGCCCTTAGTATCTCTTTCTATCCAAAAGTCCTCTTATAAGGACACCAGTCGGATGGGATTAGCACTCACCCTAATTGCCCAGTTTTACCTTCATCACATCTTTAAAGACCCAGCTGCAGATACAGTCACATTTTGTGGTCCTGGGGGTTAGGGCTTTAACATACAACTCCAGAGGACACAGTTTAGCTTATGACAGCTTGGCAGCAATCTGGACTCAATACTCAGGCCTATTTTGGACTTTGAGCAATAAAGTTGGCAAGCAGGGATGATCTGGATGTCAGACTTTTTTGGGCCTCCAAAGAGAAGTTACTCATCTGTTGGGTGGGAAGAGCACTTATGTCATATACGAGTTTTTTGTCCTGGACTTGGGGCAGCCTGTTTCCCTTCCCTAGAGGTTCTCTGTCCTTCTTTCCCAGTTTTTCAGACCTAGTCCTTGGAATGGACACCTTCACCCTGCCTGTTCTGTATATTTCACTCATATTTACTGCCTTCTTATACCTATTACTTGTTATGACACTGTCTATGAGTGCCTGGAATGAGATGTTCTTGGGGTGAAGAGAAATAGCTTAAGTAAAAGAAGGACAGTGGCTGGCTACAGAGACCCCCTACAGGGCTTCTATGTCTGCTGTTTGGCAGCTAGTCTCTGAGCCAGCTCTCAGTCATTGCTACCTCTTGGTGTTCACACTGAATAGGGTTGAGCTGAGGTGCATCATGGCTCCCATCTTGTTCTCTTGGATCCCGTACTCTGTGGGAAGCCACTTCCACATGAAGACGCTCAAGCAGCCCTATGTAGAGGTGCATGTGATAAGGAGCTGAGGCCTCCTACCAGCAGCCAGGTTAGTATGCCATCTTGGAAGTCAGTCATCCAGCCCCAGCTGAGTCTTCAGATGACCACAACCCTGGCTAATGTCTTGACTGCAACCTTCATGAAAGAGCCTGAGTCAGACCACTAAACAAAGCTGCTCCTGAATTTCAAACACCCACAGATTATGGGATAATCAATATTTATTGTTTAAAGCCACTAGGTTTTAGGATAATTTGTATGCAGCAGCCAGTAGCTCATATTCTCTTGTCCAGGGGAGAAGGGAAAGAGGAGTAAAAAATTTGTTGAGCTTCACAGAGACCTAGTCTTTTCTTGAAAAGTGTATAAGATGAAGTTCTTTGAAAACAAAGGGAACCAACTATGTCTAATTAAAGTTTATGGGAGCTGTAAGTTTGTGGGAGAATCACAGAGTCTGTGAGAAAGCCAAAGACCCAGGTCTGGAAAAGACAGGACCTGGGGAGCTTTGAGTGTGCAGGCAGCAGGAGCTAATGGCCAATCTTCAGTGGAGACACTGGAACTCCATCTGTGCTTTGTTGTTTGTTTCTCTGTTTACATTTTCCCCTTCAGTTTTGGATACAGCTCAAGGTTCTGATTCTAGGAAGAGTGTCTTGTTGGGCTAATTGAGGTCATGTTGCTGTTACTTAGCTAGGAATAGGTGGTTCCTTCAGCATGACATCCAATGGAAGAAAAGTTGTTCCCAAGGAAAACAGGTTTTGTTTTTGTTTTTTCCCAGAAGACACAATAAAACTAGTGATTTTTTGTGCACTTACCTGAGGTGCAACCACATTTGGGTTTCAGAATTTGCTGGTAAATACTCCATTATCTCATTTAATCTTCACAAACCCATGAGAGACATTACTTCTGTTACAGATAGGGAACTAGGATGGGAAAGGTAATTAACTCTTGAGTTTATAGTCTGGCAAAGCGAGGATTTAAACTTAAATTCAGCTCTTAACTGCTGGGTTACATCAGAGCCTCTGTTTCTAAGACATGAAGGATTGTTACAAGAAACTTTCTCATACTGTGGCTCATGGTGGGGGAATGTGAATATTATAACATTGCAAGTGATGAAGATGTTGATATGATAAAGTGCTGCCACTTTCTCAGTTGGAGTGGATTATGTAAAAAGCAGCATATTTGGCCAAAAAGTTGTTTGGTTTTTCCCTTATGATGGCTCTAGTAGTGCTTAGTTGTCTTTAACTTCATTCAAAACAATTTTGTACTTCTGGTCAAGATAGGCATAGGTTAGCCCTTGGCTGGTGTAGCTCAGTGGATTGAGCGCGGGCCTACGAACCAAAAAGATCAAGGTTCGATTCCCAGTCAGGGCACATTCCTGGGCTGCAGGTCGGTTCCCTGCAGGCCAGTTCCTAGCAGGGGATGCACAAGAGGCAACCATACATTGATATTTCTCTCCCTCTCTCCTTCCCTTCCCTTCTAAAGATAAATAAATTTAAAAAAAGATAGGCATAGGTTAATAATATGCCTCGCCTTCTCGCACAACTATAGCAAAAATTACAACTAGACTACACAACAGATATCACCCAGAATTGTCATAAAATCGAGCTGTAAAGTCTGACAGTCAAGGATTTAAAAAAAACCCACCTTCACCCAGACAGGTAGAAGGGGTGGAGACGTGGAGTGGCATAGGGATATGGACCGGGTAGTCCCACATCCATGTGTGGTAGATAAAAATTGGGAGGGGTACCTCGGGAGCAAGGGATCCCAGCCTGAGACCAGACCTCGTAGCCCAGGGTTCCAGTGCCAGGAACATAAGTCCCCATAATTTCTGACTGAAACAATTACATTAGATTGTATTGTGACAGCTGTCATATCAGTGTGACTGATGAATTTTTCACAGTCACACTGAAGAAAATTCACAAAACTGGTGAATTTTTGTGTAGCCATTTTAATATTGCAAATGAAAGAAAATAAGCAACATTTTAGCATATTATGCTTTATTATTTCAAGAAAGGTAAAAATATGCCCTGGCTGGTGTAGCTCAGTGGATTGAGCCTGGGCCTGCAAACCAGAGGATCACGGTTCAATTCCTAGTCAGGGCACATGCTGGGTTGCAGACCAGTTCCCAGCGGTGTCACAAGAGGCACCCATACATTGATATTTCTCTCTCCTTCCCTTCCCATCTAAAGATAAATAAAATCTTTTTTTAAAAAAAGAAAAGGTAAAAAAAACCAAAAAGATTTGTGCAGTCTCTGAAGGTACTGTGAATGTGTCAAACATGCTTTGCAAAGTTTTGTGCTGGAGATTTCTCACTGAATGATGCTCTATAGTAGGGTAGACTAATTGAAGTTGATTGTGATCACATGAAGATATTAATTGAAAACCATCAGCATTAGCAGACATACTCAAAATATCCAAATCGCGCATTGAAAATCATTTGCAGCAGCTTGGTTATGTTAATTGCTTTGATGATTGGGTTGGTTCCATGTAAGCAAAAACAACCTTCCTGACTATATTTCTACATGCAGTTCTCTACTTAAATGTAATGAAAACGTTCCATTTTTTAAAACAAATTGTGATGGCTGATGAAAAGTGGAATTATTGCAAATTACTACTTTACAATAATGTGGCATAGAAAAGATCATGGGGAAAGTGAAATGAACCATCAGCCACATCCAAAGAAGGTGATGTTGTGCGTATGGTGGGATTGGAAGGGAGTCCTCTTTCATGAGCTCCTTGCAAAACCAAATGGTTAGTTTCAACAAGTGCTGTTCCCAAGTAGACCAACCGAAAGTAGCATTTGATGGAAAGCGTCCATAATTAATCGACAGAAAACCCATAATCTTGCATCAGCGTAACACAAGCTGCATGTTTCTTTGATAACCGGGCAAAAAATGTTACATCTTGGCTGGGAAGTTCTGATTCACCTGCTGTATTCACCAGACGTTGCACCTTTGGATTTCCATTTATTTTGGTCTTTATAAAATTCTGTTAATGGGAAGGACTTCCGCCAAGATGGAAACTTAGGTGGAGGAACCACCTTGCCTCTGTAAACAACCAAATCTAAGAACAACTATTTTTAACAACAATCACAACCAAGCCACACGGAAAATCGACAATACGGAGTCCAGAGGACAACTAAATGCTCAGCTAAACCGGTAAGAGAAGCAAAACCAGTAGCGGAACAGGTTAGCAAGAAAAAATCCCCGGGTGGTGCGCGGTGCAGCGAGCAGCCGAAGGTGCTGATGCGAGCTAGCTACGGGAGCGCACAGGGGAGAGGCTCGGCGGGCTGTCTCGGTCGGTCGCGCGCGCATCTGTGTGCGGAGAAACCAGTGAGAAGGGAAGCCTGTGTGGGGCAGCAGGCTCGCACAACTCTGATCAGATAAACAAGCCCGTGGTGAGTGGTGTGACTGGACGGGCTGGGCTAGCGGAGAGGACCGCCATTGCTCCCTCTCTGACCACGCCCACACACACAGTGTCACAAACCAGCGACCTGGGTCGCCCCGTCCTGGTAAACAACTAAGGCTTCGCTCCACTTACTTAACAGCACGAATAGACCAAAAATGGCTCTAGGACAACTCAGAGCCCCAGAACCGATAGATCTAAGTGATGAAGAAATAGCCAGTCTTTCAGATGCACAGTTCAAAACACTGGTTATCAGGATCCTTACAGAACTGGTTGATTTTAGTCACAAATTAGAGAAACATATGGAAGCTAAACTAATTGAAATGAATGGAATTGCACAGGACACCAATAGCAATGAAAAGGAAACTGGGACTCAAATCAATGGAGTGGACCAGAAGAAAGCAAATAATGGCCAAACAGAAAAGAATGAAGAAATACGAATTCAGAAAAATGAGGAGAAGCTTAGGAACCTCCAGGACATCTTTAAACGTTCCAACATCTGAATTATAGGGGTACCAGAAGGGGGAAAGGAACAGCCACCAGTGGAAAACTTATTTGAACAAATAATAAAGGAAAATTTTCCCAATCTGGCAAAGGAAATAGACTTCCAGGAAATCCAGGAAGCTCAGAGAGTCCCAAAGAAGTTGGACCCAAGAAGGAACACATCAAGGCACATCATCATTACATTAGCCAAGATTAAAATGAAGGAGAGAATACTAGAAGCAGCAAGAGCTAAGGGGACAGTCACCTACCAAGGAGTTCCCATTAGACTGTCAGCTGATTTCTCAAAAGAGACCTTACAGGCAAGAAGGGGCTGGAAAGAAGTATTCCAAGTCATGAAAATCAAAGACCTACAACCAAGATTGCTCTACCCAGCAAAGTTTTCATTTAGAATGGAAGGACAGATAAAGTGCTTCTCAGATAAGACCAAATTCAAGGAGTTCATCATCACCAAGCCCTTATTATATGAAATGTTAAAGGGACTTATCTAAGAAAAAGAAGATAAAAAAGATGAACAGTGAAAGGACAGCAAACTCACAGTAACAACCACACCTAAAACAAAGCAAAGTAAGATGACAGC